AAGCACGAGATGCACTTGGCATGCCGGTGAGTTCTGACTCTGACCGTTCTGTGAGGGCTCCAAGGCAGGGTGCCAGGGAGGAACCTTTGAGGATTCCACACCTGGCTCCGGCGCGCTCCGGGTTTGGATTCAGCTCACGTCGCTACACCACCTGCTGCTGCCGCCGCGTCTCCTTGTAAATTAAAAACACACGAAGTTCGTTTCACAGGTTCGTAATTTATCTCCGCAGCAGAGTCCGCGGGATGCAGCTCGGAACATTAAGGCAGGAGAAGCTGCACTCAGACTCGGCCTCAAACCCGTTTCCTGAGTATTTCTGAACATCAGTTAAAGTAAGCTTAACAAACCATCTTAATTAGTTAGTTGGTGCTCCCACCGTTAAGCTCAACCTTTTACTGCACTTTTAGCTCTAATGGCCTTCTCGTTATTTAATGTGATGGGATTTTCCGAGACATTAATAATTTAACGTGTTTTCTGAGAAACTTCAGCACCCAGAAGGAGAACGACTGTTGTGAGCAGCTTAACATAAAGAGGTGTTTGACTTATTAAAGAAATTATTAAATTCCTGCACTTTTCTGGGTTAAACTGTCGGCTTTCCTCAGTCTTAAACACAACCGGACAGGCATTTATCAAGACACCTCCTCCTGCTCAACGGCTGTCTAGCCTTTGAGCTAACACAGCTAACGTGGCTAACCCTCTATGTCTATGTTTTCATCTCACTTTAACTTGGAGCCGCAATGGTGTCGTTAACAACCCCCCCCCCCCCCCATTCTAGTAGTTTCCTGCTCCAACACACCTGGTTGAATCACCTGTTCAACATCATTAAGCCCTGCAGAAGCCTGCTAAAGGTGCGCTTCACTGAAAAAACACATTTTAATGAGTATCTCTGATTCTAACGGGTCACTCTGAGTGTTTCATGCAGGCTGAACATGAAGATAGTCTCCTACACCTATCTCCTGCTTTAGCTTCTGATAGAAAACAGATGATGAAACTCTAGGATTAGAAAATCCTGACAGATTTACGTCACACTGTCACCGAACATTCATGGACTCACCCATCTTGGCTCACGACGGGGAAGGCTGTTGTTGGTTTAGCGTCGAGGAAACTGAAACTTGCAAGGCATTCGTTCCTACCAGAGACCACTGCAAAAGTATTGATTAAACGAGTTTCCCGCACCTTTAATCACCTGCTGATTAAAATCAGGTGTGTTGAAGCAGAGAAATCTTCAGGGTTTAGAGGATTTTCTGCTCCAACACACCTGGTTTTAGCCTGAACAGGTGACTGAATTCCTGAATCAGGTGTTGGAGCAGAGAGACAACTAAAACATGCTGGTAGCGGCCACTGTTCTAGAAGTGTCTTTGTTTTTGTTTAATCAGAATCCAGGGTGAGGTGGTTCTTCTGTGTCAGACGAACATCGCCATGTTGAGATTTCAGCCCATTTGTGTCAGCTTCATTCACGCGGCACGGGCGCAGGAAGCAGCGTCCTGAGTGGGCGGAGTTAACACACAATCTTCATGTCTTTGTGGAAAAGGGAAGGGAAGGGAAGGAGCAAAGGAACAAACCCAGTCACCCCTGGAGCTTTTTTCTCCTGATTATAACGTTTTTTACTTACTAAGAAATATGATTTCAGATGTAACAAACAAAAACACTCAAATAAAATAATAATAAACAAAAGTATGGATTTAAGTCTCATTTAAAAGTGCATTAAAATACTATTAAATCACAGTGTAGCGTCATGAATGGCCTCTAATTTGTGTCAAAGGTCACATTTTCCCAGCTGGGTCAAGCTGGGTCGACTAACTTTGCCCCACAGATTAAACACGCAAGGAGCCACGATGTCTGCTGAAAATCATCTTTATCTGCTGCTGTTCCGTCCCAGAATGAAGGACACTTCAAGTTCACAATAATAATTTTAAATAATAATTTTAATAAACTCTTGACTTTATTACTGTTATTACAATCATCATAAATAATCTCTTGATTCAGTACAAATGTTTTTTAATTACTGAAATGACTTATTATGCTTTGGGTATAATAATGATTGTTGTTGATGATCGGTTATGTGTGTTCAGCAAACCAGAAGGTCACCTCGCACGTTTAACCAGCCTCATTCAGAAGGGATATCCAGGGTAAAGGGTAAAATCATCTCACGTCTTTACTCATGACGAAGCTTTCTGATGCTGAGTGGGCGTGTTCTGACGGTTTTGTTAAAGCTAAAAATCTCGCAGCAAAAGTTGAGTTCTTGAACCATACCAGGAGACAAGGGACGGCCGCCCAAATCTCTACTAAGCATTCTGTCACGCCGATAGAATTGCTCCGAATAAACGCACCTGTTTCCAGCTGACGCAAAACTCCTTCAGAGTCATTGATTTTGAGACTCAAATAGTTCCACCAGTCGAGTGACCCAAGGAGACATCTCAGGACCAATTTGGTCACACTAAGGTCCTTCTACCAACCTCGTGCCTGGAGGAAACCATCTCCACCTGACATCTCGGATCCAGAAGAGGGTCTCCTGACCCTCTAGGTGAGGTAGACACTTTGACAGATTGTGTCTGTACGCCGGTTTTTCTAAGAACAACTCAGTTAGCTGCAAAACCACAATTCTGGTAAATATACTCCATTACTTTAACTCCCCAAGTTAATGAACTGTTTGGGTTTTGCTCCAGAATGAATTTTAAAAAAAGCAGAAAACAAGATGAATAAAAATAACTTACCTTTTTTATTTGATTCATACATTTGATTCTATCCAAAACTACCTGTCAGGTGCACAGTTAGCCGTAATTTATGAAAAAAGAAGCATTTTCAGCTGCAGTAGGTTTGTTTCCTGCAATACCTGGAGTCACCACTAATCAGTAACCCCCCCCCCCCCCCCCCCCCCCAAGCATCATCGACCAATAGGGAGTCCAAGTCACACCCATCTACTTCCGCACTATGGGTCCCCGGAAAAACAAGAAAATGAACGCAAGTCAACGGGGATAAAAATGCCATTTTCTAACTCCGCTTGTTTTGTGCCATGGATTTCACACGTCTGTGAATTTGAAAGACGCATTTTGATACCAAGTACGCTCTTATTTTCGAACAAGGGAAACGCTATTTTAGGTTTTGTGTGAAAATGAGTCCAGGACTACAAATGAGCTTCACGAAAGTGACGTGATCGAGCCAGACACGGAGAAAACTGAGGTAAAGGGGCTGGAAGTTCAGCAAACTTCCCACAGGAGGAAAGAACCACCATAAATCTGGTCATGTGGTAAGTAGCAGCTACGCTAGGGGGGAGGAGATTATGTGGTGACATCACATATGCGACGTGCCGATTTCTGGTGTGTAGTCATGCTAGTTACAAACTTTTACAAGCTGATGAATCTGTAGTGACATGAATGGCCAAAGGTCACACTTCCCCAGCTGGGTTAAGCTGTCCTGGCTGTATTTCTATCTACAGATTATCCATCACAGGATACACAAAGTCTGCTGTAAACCATCTTTTATCCGACTGCTGTTCCATCCGCAAGACGAAGGACACTTCAAGATTTAAAAGAATCATTTTTAATAAACTCTTTTCACTGTCTATTAAAATGTTCATAAATAATCATCATGGTTCATTATCAATGTATTCAATTACTGAAATAAATTATTATTCTTTGGTTAATAATAATTATTATTTATGATAATCAGTAATGTTTAACAGTGACAAGAAGATGACTGCACTTATACACACCGTGCAGGGCACAGTGAATCAGGTTAAAGGTAACTGCACTCACATGTCTTTGTTCCAGAACACCTGAGCTTTCTATCTTGGGAGGGCGTGTTCTGAGGTATGTTAAAACCAAAACTCCTCAGTTCAAGTTCAGTTCTTGAGCTCACCGAAATTCTCTCCATGGCACGAGAGTGTCCAGAGGATCGAGTCGGCCATTGGAAACCTCTACTAAAGCTTTTCTGTCATGCCGATTGAATTGCTTCAACAGAAAACGCCATCTGCAACAAGCTGACGCAAAACTCCTTCAGAGTTATTGATTTTTGAGACACAACCAGTTTCATCAGTCGTTGTGACCCGGAGACATCTCAGGACCGATTTGGTCGCACTACGGTTCTTCTACCCACCTCGTGCTTGGGGGTCATCATCTCCTCCTGGCATCTCGGATCCAAAAGGGGGTCTCCTGACTGGGTGAGGTAGACACTTCCGACTGATTGCGTCTGGAATGCCTGTTTCGTTTCTTATTAAGAAATAATTTACCTTCGCTGCAAACCAAACTCTTTCACCCAGAACGCGTTTTTCTCTCTCTGATAGAAACCTTCTGAGACTACATTCACACATCCAAACACACACATTTCATTTTTAGTTTCATCCAGACACAGATTGCTTTAATGCCAAGTTTTAATATCAAAGCTTTTATAAATTGTCATTCATGAATTGTCTTTTAACCCTTTGATGCATAATGGTCACTACAGTGGACAGGTACTCAAAATTGTTATTTATTTTTAATTTTTTGCTTTTAAGCACAGCTGTTGAAGACTTTATTGCATTTGAGCTCCTCCATTTGGACTTCAGTAAGTCAAGCCAACATGTTTCATGTTCAGAACGCACGCTGTCCACTGAGGTGGACACGTAATAAATTATTTGAAATAATAAAATGTTACAAAAAATATTTGTTGAAATTTGTTTCATTCACACCTGAAGATGAATGAAAAAAATTGCAAAAAAAAATCATGGTTGAAGATTTCATAATTCATACATCCAAGGGTTAAATTGTCATCTTTAAATTGTTAGTAATAAATTCTTAACTTTTTAAACCTGACTCTTCTTTAAATAAAACACAGAATGGTGTATATTTGGTCACTGAACGAGCAAAGATCTCTTTAAATCTTCTGAGTAAAAAAAATAAACTTTTGCTATTAATTTAAATCTCTTAAATTAAATATTAATCTTTTTGATTAAATATAGACCAAGCCAGTTGGTGTATGAACTTCTATCGATTATACAAATATCCGTGGAAATATATATATATATATATATATATATATATATATATATATATATATATATATAATATGTTTCATTGCCAATTCGTTTGATCTTTCCCAGAATTTAGCAAAGCTGGATAGCAACAGCTTAAATTCTAGTTATGTAACGCTACAAATCTCAAAGTGCGTGACTGGCGTGGTCGAAACACCCGTCATTACTTTTCATTTAAATTGCAGGATAACATACGTGTGGTCCAGGGCGTAAGGCAGAGCGGGTTAGAAAACAGCGTTTTTAGCCCCGTCGACTTGCATCTATTTATTCGTTCTTCCGGGGACCCGTGTGAGCCGACCGGAATGGGAGGAGACTTAAGCTCCCTATGGATGTGCTTTCTCCACCAGTCCAATCAACATCAGCATATTAACTCAAAGTTTTATATGAATGGCCAAAAGGTGTAAACTGGTGTAAAACATGAAAGAAACCATCAGTCTGAGGCCAGCTGTGGTGTTTTTATACACTTCACAGGTCAGCTGGCTCTACCCTCCTCTGCTGTGATGATTACCTGGTATCCAGGTGGAAAGTCAAAACCACCGATTAGAAAAACACCCGTCTCACTACTAAACCAGGAAAGTCCCAAAGCCTTTCAGCTGGAGCTGTCTCTGGCGGCCTCCTCCTGGACCCGCCTCACTTAGGAGGACTGGGGCTGAAGACAGACGCCACGAGGCTCCTGTTGGACTGTCTGCAGGTCTGTTCCTACTGAAATACAGAGCGTGTTTACGACATAGGAACTAATTAAATGACAGAGAATATGCATGATTCGACACAGATTCAGAAATGTGTTATCAAAAGGGCGTCTGGGGGCATCTGAGCATGCAGTTAGAAATGTTCAGCCCCTGCAGAGCAGAGGAAGAAGCGGTGGAAAGTCTATCGACTCGTGAAAGAGAGGAAATGAAAGAACACAGAGTTTATGTATTTACACTAGTCTCAGTCCGATGTGGTGCTTATATCCAAAGCAAGAGCAGCATCAGAGGCGAAAGCAGCAGGAGGCAGCCTTCCCGGTGAGATGCTTGACCTCTTAGAGACTCCTGGCTGATCTCCTCCTGGTTCAGGGAGTCGTGGGGGGGTGCCGCCGGGTGGATGTTGCGGTTGGCACACATGTCGTAAAGGTTCCCAGAGAACTGCATCTTCTTGGATTCCTGGCGGAGAGACTCCCAGACAGCCGCTGCTTCCTCCGGACAGCCAGCCATCGCCAGGTTGGCGCAGTCATGGAACTCATCCCACGACCTGCAAGACACAAAATCTAATTACAAAGCAGCTTCATCACGTTTGTTTGCGCTTCACGCTTTGGTCACACAGCCGTGTCACACTTCTGGTGCTTTCTGACTCGCGGAATAGAGAAGGGGTCAAGATGGAGTCCTGATTAGCGCAACGTTCAGAGTTCAAGTAAGATGAGAGCGAGACTGGTGCATGATGGTGGCTCGCGGAGGCAGAAAGAGTGCTAAAATTTCCTAATTAAGTACGAGTACCAATACTTTGATCATTTTTTACTCAAGTACAAGTAAAAGTACTTTCCAAAATTTTTACTCAAGTAAAAGTAAAAAGTACCATAAATAAAATGTACTCGAAGTAAAAGTTACTTAGTTTCATTTTTGACAGCGTAAGGATGGCTACATCTAAGTAGTGCAAAATCACAACGCAGGTTCACAATTCGCTCGTGTGCACGCACACACACACACACACACACATACACACAATTTGGTGGAGCGATTTCTATCCAATCAGTGAGAACAGGATGTGCACATTGATTGGACGAGGTTTTTCTACGATTGTTTCAATTGTGATAAAAATTATTCTTTATTTTGAGAAAAATTACATTTTCAGATGCCATCAGCATGTGAGGTGTCTCAATGATTTCATGACAAAACTCTAACATGAGACTGTGCTCTAACCTGTCACATTTCAAATGGACCGTATGACAGCTGCTAGCGCTGGCCCTGCCCTGCTTTACCTCCACAACAGTTCCTTTATCCGTGTCCATCCTAGAGCTCCTCTCTGACCGTCATGCTTATTTAGAGCAGCTGATTTTTAAAGATAGCAGAGTTCATCCTTGGTGGTGGGTTCACTCACTCATTTAACCGTTCACCACTGAAATCATCTTAGGTGTGTTCTTGCTGTGTCGTATCTCTAATTCCATGCTGTAGTTCTTTTTTAAAACACGGAGCAGTTTTGTTTACCTGTTTTCCCGCTACGTTTCGTTTGCGGCTGCAAACTTCCTCAGGCTGTCCTTTATGGACAGGATTTCTGGGCGTCAGCCTGAGGAAGTTTGCAGCCGCAAACGAAACGTAGCCCTGTAACCGGTGGGTTGGAACCCATCTACCAACACTATCTATAATAGGGACGGTGTGCTGCTGACCTCTACTCAGGACGTTGTGGATAGGTGGGCAGAATACTTCGAAAACCTCCTCAATCCCACCGACATGTCTTCCAGTGAGGAAGCAGAGTCTGGGGACTTTGGGTTGGCCTCTCAAATCTCTGGTGCTGAGGTCACTGAGGTGGTTAAAAAGCTCCTCTGTGGCAAGGCTCCAGGGGTGGATGAGATCTGCCCGGAGTTCCTAAAGGCTCTGGATGTTGTGGGGCTGTGTTGGCTGACTCTCTGCAATATCGCGTGGACATCGGGGGCAGTCCCACTGGACTGGCAGACCGGGGTGGTGGTCCCCTTATTTAAAAAGGGGGACTGCAGGGTGTGTTCCAACTACAGAGGGATCACACTCCTGAGCCTTCCTGGTAAGGTCTATTCAAGGGTTCTGGAGTGGAGGGTCCATCGGATTGTTGAACCTCAGATTCAGGAGGAGCAATGTGGTTTTCGTCCTGGCCGTGGAACACTGGACCAGCTCTATACCCTTAGGGGGATCCTGGAGGGTGCGTGGGAATTTGCCCAACCAGGCTACATGTGTTTTGTGGATTTGGAGAAGGCGTTTGACCGCGTCCCTCGGAGGGCCCTGTGGGGGTACTCCGGGAGTATGGTGTACCAAGCCCTCTGATACGGGCTATTAGGTCCCTGTATGACCGGTGTCAGAGCTTGGTCCGCATTGGCGGCAGTAAGTTGAGCTCATTCCAGTGAGAGTTGGACTCCGCCATGGCTGCCCTTTATCACTGATTCTGTTCATAACCTTTATGGACAGGATTTCTAGGAGCAGCCAAGGTGTGGAGGGCATCCGTTTTGGTGGTCTGAGGATCAGGTCTCTCCTTTTTGCAGATGATGTGGTCCTGTTGGTTTCATCAGAAAGTGATCTTCAGCTGTCGCTGGAGCGGTTCACAGCTGAGTGTGAAGCAGCTGGGATGAGAATCAGCTCCTCTAAATCTGAGACCATGGTCTTGATTTGGAAAAGGGCAGAATGCCTTCTCTGGGTCAGGGATGAGGTCCTGCCCCAAGTGGAGGGGTTTCAGTATCTCTGGAGCGTGAGATCGATTGGCAGACTGGTGCTGCATCTGCAGTGATGCGGGCGTTGTACCGGTCTGTCGTGGTGAAGAGAGAGCTGAGTCAGAAGGCGAAGCTCTCGATTTACCCGTTGATCTACGTTCCTACCCTCACCTATGGTCATGAGCTTTGAGTAGTGACCGAAAGAACGAGATCACGAATACAAGCGTCCAAAATGAGTTTTCTCCGAGGAGTGGCTGGGCTCTCCCCTAGAGATAGGGTGAGAAACTCGGTCATTCGGTAGGGGCTCGGAGTAGACCCGCTGCTCCTCCACATCGAGAGGAGCCAGTTGAGGTGGCTTGGGCATCTGGTCAGGATGCCTCCTGGACGCCTCCCTGGTGAGGTTTTCCGGGCACGTCTAACCGAGGAGACCTAAAGGTAGACCCAGGACACGGTGGAGGGACTATGTCTCTCACCTGGCCAGGGAACGCCTTAGGATTCCCCTGGAGGAGCTGGCCCAAGTGGCTGAGGAGAGGGAAGTCTGGGCCTCTCGCCTTAGGCTACTGTCCCCGCGACCCAATTCCGGATAAGCAGATGAAAATGGATGGAAGGATGGATTTCTGTGATTCTCCTGGGATGTTTCTGGAACGTTTACAGGGCTTTACCAGGATGTTTCTGGGACGCTCCTGGGATGATTCTCGGACATGCCTCTCTGCGCCCAGTGGAAACACACCCATGGAAAGCCAGAGTTAGTTCACAGTTCTACAAATAATCTGACAAAGCCTTATTGTATGAGTAACATTTTATTGAGACATTTTAATTGAGATCATTCTGATCCTTTGAGTTCAATTTGGGTTTTAACTGAACAACAAAAAACTGTTTCAGACGGGGAAAATGAGTTTAAAGCTTCCAGCAATGACCTCATTAGCATCGGAAAGGCATGATTTAATTTTATTTTTTCTCTTTGCACAGATCCCAGATCTTTAGACGATTCTCACCTCTGGTCTTTTAATGAAAATAAAAACTAGTTTTAATCATCCTCCAGTTTTGGAAAGCTCACAACGATGATGAGAAAAAACAAAGTGTGTTGAATAAATTCAGTAACTAAATAAATGATTTCAGAGAAAACTAACTTCTTTCACCTTTGACTTCAGAGGGACACTGCTGGGATGTCCATTCTTTAAAAGACAACCTGGTTGCTTTTCCACTTGAATAGTCTTCTTCTCTATAGGATGTTGGACTCCAGGTGGTGTTAAAATGACCTTTAACGTCTGCAGATTGATTTTCTTCTTGTGTTGAACACCTGAGCAACAAATTGACTAAATTTCTGCTTTTATGGGAAGTTCTAACAAGTTTTTATCTCCACTGCCGCTATTGAAAACAGTTAAGTTTGTCTTTTTACAGGAAGAATCAAGATTTGTTTGCTGTTTTTGAATCAAAGGTCGAGCGCAGAGTTAAACCGGAACACACAGACACATTTATCAGTTTTAAAACTGGAATTGGGTCTCTGCTGAACCCAGTGGCGGTTTTACCATTAGGCATAGGTCGGCGACCGCCTGGGGCCCCATTGTGTTGGGGGCCCCCTAGCCCTGACTGCCGGCTCCCCCCTGTTAATGCCGCAATGGACTATTCATTTAAGACGGCGATGCACAAACAGGAAGCGATTGGTAGTCATTCCACTCCAATCCAGTTGGTGGTGGTAATGCACCAAATTGTTGTTTGCCAAGTCCATAAATAATAATAAGAAGAGAGGCGGGAGTAACAAACTCGAAGCGGTAGTCAAAACATTAAGCATGAAATGGAGTTATGTTAAGCTGATTTTACAGGACCAGAGCGTTTGCAAAACGGGATTTGCCGTGGCTCCCTGGGGAGGATAAAGGTCATTTATAAGATCAGACCGTGGCGGTAATGTGGCACAATCGTGGCAATTTTATAAAAGATTAGGTGATGGCGGGATAAAGGGGGCGGTCTCTGCGCTGCCGCAGACTTCCGTTTATCTTGGACATAACTTGCTTTTTATTGCGATTGAAGCCGTGATGTTTAACTTTTTTAAACAAGCAGCTCCTAAAAGTGTCTGTCCCCATCAGTCCCTGTGCAGTCTCAGGTGATCTGAGCTTCAGCTCTAACCGAGAGGCTCATGGAGCGCTGTGGCGCTCCAGTTTGTCATCTCAGCTGATTTTGTTCAAAAAGCAAACCTTATTGTCTGTGTTTACTTTAATTTTCAATACATTTACCAGCCAGAGCTCAGTAATAACTCCCCACGTCATCATGACATCTGCCTCTGTTGCACCAGGGCGCATACGACAGACCATTACCGCAATATTATTACCAAGCGAGGCGGAACGAATGCCGCAAAATTCGTGCAACGCCATGCCGGCATGGCGCGTTTATAGACATACCATTGCTGTAATATTACGCCGATTTGCCGGCATGGTGCGTCTTGTAAAAATGGCTTTAGTGGCTCCAACAAGAGAAAGAAGCAGCTTGCTTCAAAAAGGTTTTTATCTTCACTTCCAAAAGTGACGTCGTTTTTCAGTGTAAACATCAAAGGAAGCAGAAAGATAAAGACAATGGAAATTGTTTAAAGGGAGGAAAACATAGACCAAAATGGAAAATAGAAAAAATAACAGGCCAAAGCACCGGAGCACTGACAGGAAGAAGAAAGCAGAGCAAATATTGAAAGCACTCAAAGGGAGAGAAAGACAGGAAAAAAGAGGAGGACTAATAAAAAATAATGGAAAATAACTCATGTCAGAAGAGGGGAGAGTTTCATAAATCCAGTTAAAGGTAAGATTGTCAAAAATGTTGTGTAAGGGGCCCCATGTCTGTGGTTGCCTTGGGCCCTCATATTGCTAAATCCGCCACT